TCTCTCTCAAAAATAAATAAACATTAAAAACATTTTTAAATAAAATAACAATCATAAGATAAATTTTCATAAATCCTACTATATTAAAATTAAGAATTTCTATTAAGTGTAATGTGAAAGGACAAGATACAATTTGGTAAATGATATTTGTCAAATATCAACCAATAAAGGAACAGCATCAAGAATATATAAAAACCTGAAAATAAAGAAAAAAAAACCCAATAGACAAACAGACACAAAATATAAAAACGCACTTCACAGGCAAGGAAACATATATGGTTAATAAACACACACAGAGATGCTTAACTTCACCTTCTATTTGGGAAATTGCAAATTAAGACCACAGTGAGATTATATTGTATTGTGGTAAAATACACATAAAATTGATCATTTTAACCATTTTAAAGTGTACAATTCAGTGGCATTAAGTACATTCACAATACTGTATGATAATCGTCACTATCTAGCTCCAGATTTCTCTCATCACTCCATGAGGGAAACCCATATCCTTTAAGCATTCACTCTCCATTGCGATTTTCCCCCAGCTCCTGGCAACCACTCATCTCCTTTCTATCTTTATGCATTTATCTATTCTGGATATTTCATGTAAGTGGAACCTACAACATGTGGTCTTTGGTGTCTGGATTATTTCATTTACCATAATGTTTTAAAGGTTTACTTATGTGATAGCATGTTATCAGTACTTCATTCTTTTTTATGGCTGAATAATATTCCATTGTATGGATATGCCACATTTGTTTACCCATTCATCAGATGATAGGCATTTGGGGTGTTTCTATCTTTTGGCTATTGGGGATAATGTTTCTATGAACATTAGTGAGATAATGTTTTATACTTATTTAACTGGCAAAAAATTAAGAAGTAGCTAATATCAAGTATTGGAGAGACCTCTTTAATTGTATGTTGCTGATGGGGGTGTAATTTGCTTAACCATGTTGGAAAACAACTTGACATTATCTTGTGAAATTGAACTTTCACATACTGTATGATCCAGCAATATTACTCTTAGATACATACCTAGAGAAAGTTTAGCATGTAAGTGCCAGAAGATTTATACAAGAAAGTTAACAGTAGTACTATTCTTAAGAGCAAACAACTTGAACCACTCAGATGTGCATCAATAGGCATTTCTTTTAAGGAGTCTGCTATAAAGGGAAGGAAAGTAATGGAGGAGTAGTGGGTTGAGAGTTTTTTTTCCTGATTAAAACAGGAGAAAAATTACATATTGCATATGCTAAAGAATTAATGCCATGGAAAACGGGTGTGGGGTGGAGAACTACTTGAAAACTTGATTTCTCAGACATTTAATCTGAATTTACCTCCTAGTTCTGGAGGGTGCTGTATATACCCTCCAGTTTTAGGTTTTACCTATTCTTCACTTTCCCTTCGTAAACTGCTATATCAAGTAGAGCATATCAACTAAGTACTCAAAGAATTATCTGTTGTTCCTATTGTAACATCTATAGAGAATTTGATTGATCCACTTTCCATATCACCACATAAATAAGATCCAACTCACCAAACGCTCCCATTCATAAATTATTCACCAATCAAAATGAAGTAACTAGAGTTATAGAAAGAAACATGGATGAACCTTAGTAACAAAATGTTGAGTGAAAATGGCCAGTGGAAGAAGACCACATGTAGTATGATATCCTTTTTTTTTTTTTTTAATTTTTTTTTCAACGTTTATTTATTTTTTGGACAGAGAGAGACAGAGCATGAACGGGGGAGGGGCAGAGAGAGAGGGAGACACAGAATCGGGAACAGGCTCCAGGCTCTGAGCCATCAGCCCAGAGCCTGACGCGGGGCTCCAACTCCCGGACCGCGAGATCGTGACCTGGCTGAAGTCGGACGCTTAACCGACTGCGCCACCCAGGTGCCCCTGTATGATATCCTTTTTTAGACTGTTTAAATACAATTAAAATTAACTTGTGATGACAATAATGGAAAAGTACAGAACTTAGGACAACGATTACCTCTGGGAGGAAAACAGAGAGAAAAGGAGCACATAGATCTAAATCATTGGTAATCTTCCAGTTCAGTGGTTCTCAAACTTGAATCTTCATCAGAATCACCTGGAGAGCTCATTAAAACCTAGGCTGCTGGTTTCCACCCCCAGAATCGGTGGAAGGGTTTGTTTGGGTGTGGGGCCTAAAACGTGTGTTTCTAACAAAGTCCCAGGTGCTGCTAATGCTGTTCTTCTGGGACCACACATAGATAACCACACCTAGTTCTTAGGTTGGGTTGTGGGTTCACTGGTGTTGCACTGCATTTTGTTATGAAATGAATGTAGTATTTAAATTAAATGGAAAAAAAAAAAAAAAGATAGTCATAGACCAAAGCAAAGATGAGAGTGTTTCATGAAGCAAGGATTAATATTAATCCAGTTCTGGGCTCCAGAAGCATTCACCCAAAAAGAGGTAGAGTTCTACCAGTAAACACAAACTTGGCAAAACACTGCTTTAGAAGTGTTGCTAACTACTTTGAGAAATAAAGTTGAAGGTTGACTCTTCCTTATCAGTGACAACAGCCTGCATTTCACTTCTCTGGATCTCAATAATCTTTGGCACATAAGATATCTACATCCTTGGTTGATTTAAGATTGTGTTTAGAGAAAACATTTCCCTTATTTTGCATGTTCTTACTCTTCCCTCAAGTGCTCTAGGTAATTATTTTTCTTACTTTCTACCTCCCTCTTCCAGATTTATAGTGTCTAGCTGCTAGGTTCTGAGATAAAATTTAGATATTTCAGATCTCTGCATTGAGCAGGGCATATGTAAAGCGCATACTGTTGTGTCCAGCAACGTGCCGGCCACTGACTGGGTTTGAGAAATGCCTGAACATAAAATTCTTGCCTCACAAGCAAGTCAGCCTAGAGAGGAAAAGAGATCCACAAATATAAAATTACAACCCAAAGCAAGGCGCATAGGACGTCAGAGAAAGATTTATCTGCTTTCAGAACCTCTCCTAAACCCAGCTCCTTTAAGCTTTCTCACGCGCTTCCACTTTCACAGCCCCAACGTCCTACGCGGGCGCAAAGAGGAGGCGCGGGCGGGGCGGGAGAGGGCCGGCGTTGCAGACCCCACCTCATTGGCTTTCCGGCCGGCCGGAAGCGGCGGTGCACATCGGCTGCGCATGCGCTCCTCACACGTGCTTCCAGAACGCCCCCTACGCTGCCGCGGCTAGGCCGGCATCATGGTGCAGATTTCTGCCCTGCGGCTGCTAAGACGGCCAGGGACGAGAGGAGTCTCGCTCCTGGAGTACTCTACCCCCCGCCACTACAGTTCGGCCCCTCTCCGTGCCCGCGACGATGCTCGCGACGCGCGCGCTTTCTTCACGACACCCATTTTCTACGTGAACGCGGCGCCGCACATCGGGCACCTGTACTCGGCGCTACTGGCAGACGCCTTGTGCCGCCACCGTCGCCTCCGAGTTCCCAGCGCCGCCGCCACGCGATTCTCCACTGGTACCGACGAGCATGGCCTGAAGATTCAGCAAGCAGCAGCCGCTGCGGGCCTGGCCCCGACCGAGCTGTGCGACCGAGTCTCTGCCCAATTCCAGCAGCTTTTTCGGGAGGCTGGCATCTCCTCTACCGACTTCATCCGCACCACCGAAGTCCGGCACCGGATCGCTGTGCAGCATTTCTGGGGATTGCTGAAGGCCCGGGGTCTGCTCTATAAGGGTCTCTATGAAGGTTGGTATTGCGCCTCCGAAGAGTGCTTCCTGCCTGAGGCCAAGGTCACCAGGCAGCCGAGTTCCTCGGGGAATTCGTGTCCTGTGTCTTTAGAGAGTGGGCATCCCGTAGTCTGGACCAAGGAAGAAAACTACATTTTCAGGCTTTCTCAGTTCCGAGAGCCTCTTCAGCAGTGGCTGCGGGGCGACCCTCAGGCAATCACCCCTGAGCCATTTCATCACGCAGTTCTTCAGTGGCTAGAGGAGGAGCTGCCAGACCTGTCAGTCTCTCGAAGGAGCAGCCACTTGCATTGGGGCATTCCTGTGCCCGGGGACGACTCGCAGACCATCTACGTATGGCTGGATGCCTTGGTCAACTACCTTACTGTAATTGGCTACCCAAATGCTGAGTTCAAATCATGGTGGCCAACCACCTCTCATATCATAGGCAAGGACATTCTTAAATTCCACGCTATCTATTGGCCTGCCCTCCTCTTAGGGGCCGGCATGAGCCCACCACACCGCATCTATGTCCACTCACACTGGACGGTCTGTGGCCAAAAGATGTCCAAAAGCTTGGGCAACGTGGTGGATCCCAGGACTTGCCTTGATCGCTATACTGTGGATGGCTTCCGATACTTTCTTCTTCGGCAGGGCGTCCCCAACTGGGACTGTGATTACTATGATGAAAAGGTGGTTAAGTTGCTAGATTCCGAGCTGGCAGATGCTTTGGGAGGCCTCTTGAACCGGTGTACTGCCAATAGAATAAATCCTTCTGGGACCTATCCGGTTTTCTGCACTACCTGCTTTCCCAGTGAGCCAGGGTTGGTGGGGCCATCAGTTCGTGCACAGGCAGAGGACTATGCTTTGGTGAATGCAGTGGCCACTCTGCCCAAGCAGGTAGCCGACCACTATGATAACTTTCAGATCTATAAAGCTCTGGAGGCAGTGTCCAGCTGTGTCCGGCAAACTAATGGCTTTGTCCAAAGGCATGCACCGTGGAAGTTGAACTGGGAGAGCCCAGTGGATGCCCCCTGGCTGGGTACTGTGCTTCATGTAGCCTTGGAATGTTTGCGAGTCTTTGGAACTTTGCTCCAGCCTGTCACCCCAAGCCTAGCTGATAAGCTGCTATCCAGGTTGGGGGTGTCTGCCACAGAGAGGGGCCTTGGAGAGCTCTGTTTCTTGCCTCGATTCTATGGACATCCATGTCCTTTTGAAGGGAGGAGGCTGGGACCTGAAACTGGGCTCTTGTTTCCAAGACTAGACCAGTCTAGGGCCTGGCTGGTAAAAGCCCATAGGACCTAGAAACTTAGTTTTTAAATTGGCTTGTGGTAAAAAAGCAAATGTGTTATTTTCTTATTTTGCGTTTTTAGGAAAATTATGCTAATGTTTTCTAAAGTGTTGCATCATATGAGCACATAAACAGTGTCACTGTGATAAGAGGTTTGTAGCCTTTCAGGTGCCTCCCCTCCTAGTCTTCAGTTCTCTGTGCCCATTAACCACTATCCTTTGTACACCAGTGTCTCTAAGATGTCTCCAGGGTCAAAGATGGGTGAGAGACAACTTTGCTGATACTGTTCCTTCTCATTGTGCCTCCTTCCAAACCACAGTTAATGTTATTTGCCCAGACTACCTCTTATGGCTTGTTTTCCATTGGCCTGGCCTCTGCTGGGCAAATTAGTGAAGATTGGGGGTTGGAGGCCCCCTACCTCAGCTTTTACGTAGTAGTCCTACTTTGTTATATATGTTGGGTTTCCTATTAAAAATAAACAGGTTTCTTTATTAAGCCTTTAAAAACCAGTGTCCTAGACAAGATGGTTTTTGCCCACGTTTATATTTTCATTTCTTACAACTATGACTCCCTACCTACTCTGTTAATAGTCTGAATAGTTGTGCTTTGTAACATTACACTTCAACCAGTAGATGGCTCTACAGTTTCACGTATTTTGATTACCTAACATTGACAGTTCAGAATATTTAGGATAAATTTGTTTTCTGCTAATTTGGAAGAATTTAAAGAAAAATTTTATTGCTTTTCTTAAAATAAGGGAAGACTGTAACCACTGCTGTTTTACATAAAGCAATAAAAAAAGATCAGAATCCTGTTTTTTCAAACTAAAAAAGGACATTTACTCTATTAAACATTTAGTAAGGTAATAAGTAAATGTATCAAATGCGTTTGGACTATCTGTGATAAATTATAAAGCTCTCGAGTTGGTTATGTTAAAAATTTTAAACTTTAATAACAGGTTTACAGGTATGATTTAAAAAATTTGTAAACAGCTCAAAATGGTTATATTTTCTTTTTATTTCTGAATCATAATTTTGTTACCACATACATAATTTACCTTATGTGATCTCTTTTGGCAAATCAGAATCTATAATACAACATAGACATTGTGGAATAGTTATAAATGTTAATACATATACTTTCAAGTACTTTTTACTGATTATTTCTTTTGCTGTCTTAAGTTATTAAAGTTTAAAAGTCTGTGAGTACCTTATTCAGATCTGTTCTGTTGAATTTGTTGAAGGTGATGGTGAAGGGAGGAAATGATCAATGCTCCAAGAATCTCAAACTGGATTTAGGGATCTCTCCAAGGCTCCATAAGAGAATATCACAGAGAAGATGTTAAGGTATCAATTTATTCAATGACTACAACACAGTAAGCCAGCGTAATACTTCATAGGTGATTGGATAGCTAGGCCAAAGTTTAAAATGAGAACTTGCCTTGAAATACTCATTCTCAGCATGGTAGCAAGCAGAGAGAGCTCACTATGAAGTCAACTATTGTGCTGGTAGTTCCCCCAGATTTATTCTAGGTGCTACTATTCAGCTCCAGTTTCTGTTTATTAATCAATATGGTGAGAGATTTCTGGTTGCTTGGAAACATTGCTTAGAAAAGAATGCTTGAAGGCATTCTAAAGGTGGAAGGACCATTTCTACAAATGTTCCTTCAGACCCTCCTTTTCATAATGGAATCCTGGGCTTTCCACATGACATAGTCTAGCTATCTTCTGGGATTGGTAGGGCAGATTACTGGGGTGTAGGAGGGGTATAATCTCTCCTAGGGCTGGATAGAGCAGAGTGGTAAAAGAAATGAGATGTGTTTATATGAATGAACAAAAACAGACTTGGAAAACCAGTGGTATGATAACCTCTGCTGTTGAAGTGCCTTGATAGCAATCTTTCTGTTCCTATTATGAAAGGACATTCACTTCCACTTGAATGATCTTTCCTATGGCCTAGTGCTGGTCAGTACACTGGATCTTGACTTGCTGGGTGTTAATGGAGTTCCTTTTGTGCAGCTTGTCATTTATAGAGGCACTTAACTGGCTACCAGAATATTTATGGTACCAAAGGGCACAAGAAAATAGAGAATCGAAAGAGGAGAGGGCATAATTAGTACAGATACATAATTAATACAGGATACTCTGAAGAAGTGGGGATCTAAGTTACTCTGTGGTAATATGGAAGATGAACCAGTTGGATTCTCTGTCAGGGGCAAGGTATGTAAAACAAGTATCCTTTGGGTACTTAGTTGATGTGTTCAATTTGATCCAACAGTTTAGGAATGGCAAGTGGAGGAAAGGTGAAACTTAAAACTGAAGAGAGGGCATCTTATACACCCTTTGACAGAACAGAGGTTTCTCCAAAACTACTACCTTGAGGCTCCTAAATATTCATTTTGGGGTTCTTGGGGGCATAGTTGCAGAAGGGGATAGACCAGGTGTTCACAACGTATCATGTTAAAGTAATAACGTAGCTGTCAACTCAGCAGGCTACAGTCCTATCAATGAAGTCATGCAAGAAGTTGTGGTCAATGTACATGTTAGGTGCATCACTGTATATTGGAGAGCCATTCTACAAGTGAACTTAGAGCTTAGGCACCTCAGAAGTCATAAGACCTGTGGCTATATATGGAGATCAAGAATAGGCAGGAAGAACAAATAGATACCATCTCTGATTTCATTGATATCTCAAAGTTATTCTGGAAGTAGGCCTCATTATTTTTCTTAATGACCTATATGACCCCTATAGGGGCTGAGAAGAGCCGGATAAGTTGAATATTAAGTTGATGCCAAAGTACTCATGAAGGCCTAGGCTGGAACATGGACACAGGTCTTTTTTTGCACAGTTGGACCTGTGGTTGGGGCATAGCTCTTTATTTTTAATTTTTAAGTAAGTTCTACAACCAATGTGGGGTTTGAACTTAAAAGCCCAAGATCAAGAGTTGCATGCTTTGACTAAGCCAGCCAGGCACTCCAGGAAATAGCTCTTTAGATATGGGAAGTTCCAAAACTGAAGTAAAGCCAGTAGTTGGTTAGGTTGGGTGGGCCTCCATCTAGGATGCCTTATGATCATGATGTAGCTTGAGTAGCAAGTGGCAGTATGAAGCATTTAGCAGATTACTCCTTGGGCATTATGTAGGGCTGGTTTCTTAGATCTCTGACTGCCCCACCCCTGGTAAGTATGTAGTTGCATTGTTGGCCTACATTAGTGTAACCCGGAGTTATGGGGGAGGCCATGCCTCTTGACTGAGACTTGGTTCATAAAGCTGCTATATGATGATCTAAAATAGTCTCCTGGAGGCAATTCCCCACTATCCATAGTTCTACCAAATATAGAACAACTGTTCTGGTGGGTGAGATCAAGGTTGCTGTAAACGTTGGTGGGTCCTTGCCCTCATCTTTTGCCTGAGTGAATAACATCAGTGGATCTAAAAGGTTGTGGATGTATTGACAGCCATAAGTCTATTTTTGCAGCAAAGGTTTACGAGTTCTGAGAGCTTGGAGGGAGCTCCAGCATAGATTTGGGTAACCAAGAGCACAGGTTAGGGGGATCAGTCTTAGAAGAAAGGCTTTGAGTCCCTTGCGAAATGAAACCAGTATGAAATATGTCATTTCAGCACAACTCAGATGGTCCTGACCCTTCCTCTTACAGGAAGGAGCTTTAGATAGCATTGGTCATCTTTTATCAATAGGAGCACACCAAATTTGGGGGTTAATATTGCTGGAAGGGCCAAACAGTAACAACCAAGCTAATTTAGATTAATTAATGGGGATTTTAACCTTCTTAGAGAATGTCTTATTCTTTTTTGAGACTGAGGATAAGAGAAGCTCAGCCTAAGCTACTTTCCTCTATCACCAAGAACTACTTTGAGCTGAGGGGAAGGGACTAACCAGTTTAAAGGGGAAATTGCTGCTTTCTCTTAGTTTTTTGGTAGTCCTGGGTTACCTAGTATTATAGATCCTCTGAATTATGGGAACCATCTAACAGGGAATAGTTGACCATATTTAAAATACCCTGCTTAAGATTATATCATATTAATCAGTTTCTACTTATATTTTCATGACAAGGGAAGGGAATTGGGAAGAGCTACACACCAGGAGGATCTTCCTATGGCATTGACAACTAGAAATAATATACTTTCTACTGCATCTTTTCATGAATAGCTATTGGGAGTTTTAGCCATACTTGGATCTTCAAAGTAAGGTAAGGCTAAGTACGGAAGTTCCATCCTTGGCTGTTAACTAAATATCATTTGGTTTATGGCACAGACTACTCACCATAGATTTTAAAGTCCACAGCTCCTCACTTAAGAACTGGAAGGTATGAGATGTCAGGATGTTTCAGGAAACCAAGTGTGCCATCTGCAAGAAGAAAATTATAGCTCCAAGGAGAGATGAGCCCTGCCTTCAAGTCATGAAGAATATTTTGGATGAAACATCTGCAGAGGCCTGGAAGACTCACTGGGAATGGATGATACCACCTTTCTTAGTGTATGGTATGGGAAAAATGGTTCTATCCTCTCTATACTACCATTCCTAACGTCATTCATGCCTTGTGCATGTACCCCTCATTAGTTGATAGTCACTGGTTTGTGCGATTTAACATGAAGATGTACTTTCAAAAAGTAGTTTATGACTGATTTATAGATTAGAATTTCTGTTTTCTTAATACATTCAATAAAAATATGACCGACTGCACATTTTTTCTCAAAATATTTTTAAAAATGTAGTAACTTTTATATTGGAAAACATTAAGATAGTTTCAGTAATTTGGCTTTCCTTGAACTAGTCTAGAAGAGTCTGCTGGTTAAAAAGCTATAAATATTAAAAATATAAAGTTAATAAGCATGCTACACATTTTAGGTTAAATCAGTACAATAATACAAATACAATGTATTTCTTTCAAACCACATGAAAAGAAATGTTAAAATTCAATCCAAAAGAAGACAGGAAGGAGAAAAAGGGGCAAAGAAAAATGAAAAATATGGTAAATGAAAACCCATAATAAGACA